ATTCAGCCCAGTGGGAGAACAAGCAAATGTTGCTCCTGAAGTCATTACAAAACTCCAGACTTCCCATTCCACTGGGAATTACAGATGTGCTCAGGTAGGTCACAGCTCTGCTTTTCAGGCTCCATCATAAGAGTTTTTGTTCTGCAAGGCACAGAGTTCTGCATCTGTTGCTCTGAGAACAGCCACCTTTCAGCACAAAGAGGTCTCTGCATTTCATTTGGGAAGCAAATGCCTGCTGCTGTGTTTCTGCACACAGCAACAGCTGAAAGCCAGGATTCGACCCACCACATAAAACTCAGTGTTGCTTTTGAACTTTCCTAATAAGGATTTAATATCTTCAGCTCCCACCCACCCCCCCCAAAAAAAAAACCCAGGTATTTTAATAAGATGGAAAAAGAAGGAGAAGCAAAACAAGAAGTGTTTTATGTTCACAGATATCTCGCATTACATCTGCTACAAATACTGTATGGGCTAAACGGCAAAACCAAAAGAAAAATGAGACTGACCTTGAGATGTTTCATTATGATTTCATTGCTTCTAGTGGTTTTATTGGGTTTTACCACGAGGCTATTAAAAACATGTGGAAAGTATACAGAACTAAGTCAAACTGAGCATTTTTAATCATAATCTTCCATAATCTTTTTTTCCATTGAAATACTTTTAATATTTTTTAATATTTCATGAGATTTCTTGAAAACAAACTTAAAGCACAGAGATTTGGGTAGTCTATACTGCTAGTTTAATGAGCAAATATATTATCTTTGCTTTAGAATAAATCATCCAGTCTTCCCGATTTTTTTTTTAATAGAAGAAAGCATTTCTCTGACATGAAATCCTTCCTAACCAAATATCTGGGGAAGGAGGAATCAGGATGGACAGGAAGGTGTCAGTCCACCACTGTGGTTGGATCAAGCTCTAGCAGGAAGGGCTTTGAGTTTCATCCCACTGCTGCATTTGAATTAAACACACCCAAGTCTGCGACAAAGAAGAGGAAAGATGTAGAGTGCTCTGTAAGTTATCAAAGTTAATTTTAATCCTGTATAAAAGATATATCTTAAGATTTTTTTAAAGCTAATTTCTGTGCTGACTGTCAACAAATACACAATTATATCCCAAGTAATAATAGCATAAGTATCATTAATTTCTTGTATGCAACTAGAAACGAGAATACTGAAAATCAATATGAATTTTTATCAGAAGCAACATTCTCAGCAGTATCATAATCATATGCTAAAACAGATTCTGGAACTTTCATGGGGAAAACTTGAGATAGCCTGTACAACTGTGCATTAAAACAGTCTTTGCCTGATTCAAAACCATTTAAAGAGGGACTTTACTCATGGACTGTTTAATGTCCTTGGATACTACTGAAGAATTTTTATGGAAATACTTTGTATACTGGATTATTAGAACACATTTATCATCCATTGCCTACACATATATCTCACAGCTGGCTGACTTCACAATAGCAGCATGAATCAGAGCTACAGGGCACACCAATATTTTCCTCACTAAAGGCAATGGAGTTCTTCAGGGAATTTACTCACTGTTCTTGTATTAGCAACATAATAAACCAATTACAATGACCTCCATAAATTAATCCCATCAGAAAAAGAAATATCGAGAAAAAACAAGGCTAAATTCATATTATATAAAACTCTATATATGTTTAAGTTTTGGGGACATCTGTTCCCAAACCTGGGAAGCAAAACTCACCAATATTAGAGTATAATGAAATCAATTACAGGATATTGGACTATATCATAGAAGCTTTCCAAAAGACAGCTTCCCATCAAAATATACTATTTGTAAAGTATTTTATTATTAAATAAGAATAAATTTGCTTGGGTTTTTTGTAAGCAAAATCTGTAAAAAAGTTAGTGTGCTCAGTCAACATGGTGGCAAGCAGCCAAACAAGATAAACTCTTACTGATCATTAGGAAACACCGTCAAGCGAGAACAATCAAAAAGTTTTGATCAGCCCCCTCCTGCCTCCCTGCTCTGTGTAGATCACTGGGAAGCAGAAAAAATGGCAGTGGGGTCCCTGGAAGGAGGATACTTCCCATTCTCGTTCACTTTGTTAATGCAGGTCCATAGCCTTCCTCCTGCATGTACCTAACACCTGCTACTCAGGTCCTCAGCCTGCTCAGGAAAAGTCCCCTCTATCCATCTTGCACAGCAGCAGAACAGGGGGTTTGTAGCACAGAGGCCTCAGGAGCAACCCTGCCAGCCCGGCTCCTCAGCACCTGTAGGAATTGGAGGATCCTTTCCCCAGCTGCCCTTTTAATGTACAATCCTGCAGGATTTATGAGCTGACAGCCCAGAGCCCGTAGTGAGGGGTGCAGCTGCCATCCCCCCCGAGCAGCCCCACAGGGACACCATCCCATTCCAGGGACTCTGTCCTGCTGCCAGAGACACTGTCCCACTTCAGGGACACTGCCAGGGACTCTGTCCTGCTGCCAGGGCTGCAGTCGGTTCCTCAGGAGCTGCTGCCACTCCCACAAGGGAGGCCTTTGTAGCCTTGCCCACCACATCCCCATTCAAATTTCATCCAAAGTTTTCCTTTGGAGGTTTCTTTAATTTATTTTTTTTTCACAGAATCACAGATTCATGGAATGGTTTGGGTTGGAAGGGGAACTTGAAAATCATCCAGTTCCAACCTACCTACCATGGGCAGGGACACCTTCCACTAGACCAAGTTGTTCCAAGCCCCGTTGTTCCAATGTGGCCTTGAACACTTCCAGGGATGGGGCATCCACAACTTCTCTGGGCAATCTGGGCCAGTGCCTCACAGTAAAGAATTACTTCCTAATACCTAATCTAAACCTACCCTCTTTCAATATGAACCCACTCCACCTTGTCCTGTCACTATACGCTCTTGTAATCTTGCCCTGTCACTATACGCTCTTGTAGTCTTATCCCATCTTTCCTCATTTAAAAAAAAAAGCTTTTTAACTCATTTTCTCCTCAGAAGAATATCTACATACTGCATAAAGCACTTCTTTTTCATTAAATATAACACTTAGACCCCAACCAACATAGCACGGTGTGTGAGGCCCTCGAGGCAGAGCAGGACCCCCCTCATCACACCACAGAGTCGCTTGAGTCCCCACCCCTCACCTGCCTCCCGTCCTGCCCACATGGCCGCTGGAGTCCCCACAACTCACCCCTCTTGCCAGCCGAGGCTGGGGACAGCGGGATCATGGTGTTCCTTCCAGAGGGGCTCACAGGGATGCCATGTTGGCATCGGGAGAGCCGCGGCCTTGTGCCACCTCCCTCCCCAGAGAGGAACCGCCGTGGCCCGGGCCACTCCTCCCTCACAGCCGGCGGGATGGCGCCTGCTCCTCTAGGAGACTTTTTTGCCCCTTTGGGACAGCAGGAGGAGCCCTCCAGTAGTGTGAACGTGGAAAGCAGAGGAAAATGGGCTCCCAGGATCCAGTCTGACCCCCAGCCCCTCACAGCAACCAGGGGAGGCAAAGGGCATAACGCTGTATGGGGAGATAATACCTCTGGGGAAGAAACAGCTATCCTGGGCCTTTCTTCCCAGAAACACCCAAACAACAAGCCATGGGGTTCCCCGAGGGGAGCCGTGTAGGGCAGGAGTGAGGAGAGGGCAGGAGTGGGCAGGGAGGAGGCGCTGGGTGCCCCATTCCTCATGAGGGAATGGCCATGGGGCAAGGATCCCCAAGGAAGGGGGATGAGTGGCAGGATGTGTGGCCATGGGGCGAGGATCCCCAAGGAAGGGATGGGGGGGAGTATGACTGGCTATGGGGTGAGGATCCCAAAGGAACAGGGATGAGGGGCAGGATGGCTGCAGAATGGCCCATCCACATGGAGACACAGATGGGTTACATGCCCACTGTCTGAAATAAAAGCTCATTATCCAGGGGCTATTTTTGGCACCCGATTAGTTCTTTCTAGCTCACATGCTGCATTTGTACTCCTGTTGCTGTGAAAAATCATAGCTTGGAAAAATCCCATTTCCCCCTCTTTTGTGCAGTATCCTCTGTAATGAGGAAACATGGTTTTTAAAAGCAAAACAGCAAATAAACTCTTCCATACAGACCACGCAGAAATACCAAGCCTGTGCAAATGCATACTAAGGGATAAAGTTGCCAACTGAATGTTTTAGCCTTCAAGTTTTCACTATTCATACATCTATCTCAGCCTTAAATCTATCTTTCTCTTTCCCAAATCCAAGCAATTCACAGGAAGAAATTTACATGAGAACAACATTTGTGTTACCTCTTTGTGGCCTAAGAAAATTCCAGTTTCCCAACTCTCATTTTCACTAAAGAAAATAATAAAATTAGAGCCTGTTCATGGGTCCTGCTCCACCCAAGGTTGGACCTTTGGATTACGGCTACCACCCACAGTCAAAAAAATATGTGGGCTTAGTCCCATGGACTTCTGACTATTTCTCAACATCTTTCATCAAGCATCTCACTCCTTTAAAAGAAATAAACTACCATTTTGGTTTGACAGTATTATGTCCAATGTCATAGGTGCTGATGATACCAGGTAAGTGAGGAATCAGGCCTGTGGTTCTCCCTCATCAATCTTTTACACAACAATCAACATACATTCCTCTCCTGGGGTTTTAGGCTTTTACTGGGAAAGAAGGGTGTCTTTTTTTTTTTTTTTCTGCTGGAAAACATTGTCCTATTTAAAGGACAGCATGCATTTTTTTTGAAGTAAACTTGGATAAGAGTTTCCTAACTCTGCCTGGCCTACATGATACACTCCTTCAACTGTAGGTGGGTCTCCTTTGGCAAAGGCTGCTGCTTGCTAAAGAAGCTTAACAGTGTATGTATCATCCTGACATTTTGGGCCTGACCTACAGGTGCTAAAATGTACCTTCACCCTGCATTCACTGCATCAGACTCTCAAGGGATTCAAAGGGAGTCTGAGGCACCTGACTTTTCACAGAAGTACAGTGTAAGGGACAGAAGTTTAAAGATAATAGAACAGTTCTCCATAAAACTGTGCAAATCTGCATATTCTCAGCTTGTTCAGGAGTTTAATCAATTGCTCTGTTTCACCAAAGACTAACAAAACTTCCACTGGTGTTTGCTGGAGATAGTTAGTTGACTTGAGCTACTTCTGTAAACATTTTATGTAGAAATCTATCCCAGCAGTCAGGAAGGCTATTTTATTGCTCAGCTGTATAGCTGCTATTCAAAAATATGGGGGTTTGCAGTTCTTAGGGCCAAGCTTTTATTTTTTTCAGGAAGAAATCTTTCCTTCTATGATTGATGATTTTGTTGAATTGTCTAAGGTAGGAAACAGCTTGAAATTACTGTCATGTGCTATGGGAACCAAAGGGAGAGTGTGGAACTAGATCTCCAGCAGGAAAACAGCTGGTAAAAAATTGAGCCAACTGTGTTTCCAAGTAAATCCTGGAATGCAGTATGCAAAACAACATGTGTTCAATCAGAAATCCTCAAAAGAAAAGACCATTTCCTCATGCAGATTAACTGCCTCAGATGAAGGACATTATAATCAACTAAGAAACTTGTACCTCTGTGGGTCTTCTTTTCATTGGTTTCCTTATTTTCCATGACTCCAACAGGAGCTGAAAGTACTCGACACCATAAAATAGGTGAGGTTTTGAGTACAACACCAGGCACTGTCTCCAGACTTGAACTAAACAAATTTCTCTTGACACTTAACAGTTTTCTCCCAAGACAGCCCACGCTCACTTATCTCTTTTACATCACTAGTCTCACTCCTGACTCTCAATGAGAATAAGATATACTATGTAAAAAATTCAACCACATATATTACACTTCACACTGTCACTCCATCCTCTGATCATACCTTTAGGGACATTCACACAACTGCCACATGGGCATACAAGAGCAAACAGAAACTTTAGCAAAGCTCTGGAAGGCAGACATACAGATTTTATATATATATATATTCACAAGAGCAATAGTTTTATCTTAAAACCTTTCTAAAACAGGAATATACTGCAGGCTTTGGCAGTAGAGATAAAATATTATGGGATCCAGCCTTATTTTGTTTTTCTCATCCAAATATACACATTGTTATAACAGAGGAATAGTTGCATCCAGAATTATTAGTGTTGCTTGATGACCAAAATGCCTCATACACTGCTCCACACATGAAACTACTGCAAATATTCATCTTGCCTGATCAGCAACAGCTTCTTTGGGTGGAGGAAAAGAAGCTTATACATGGTTCACTTAAAATGCAGCAACAAAAATGGCATTTGAAGGCATGTGTTGAAAACAGTCCCATATTACAGATGGAAACAGTGAAGGAAGAGAAACAGAAGAAACAAAAGCCAGCTTTTGTGAGTTCCCGAGCAATCCCTTATGATCCTGGGTCTTGTATAAGATGATTTGGAAGCTTTGGAAAGGCATTCAGGGTCTTTCCCTGAATAAGGCACTGTAACACACTGTCTTCCATGAGCCTGGCTCAGTGCCACAACAGTTTCTGCGTAATTCATTGCACGTTCTGCTAAGTGTTCTCTGTATATCTATATAGATATATACACATAGACATATATGTAATTTTCCATATGTTTTCCTGCAAAACAGAAAAATAAAATAAGTTACATAATGCGATACAGAATTCAGAGTAAGATAAACTTAGTACCTGCTAACATGTCACACGTGTCCTAAACTAAACCAGACATACACTGATTTTGAAGTTATATGTACTCTTAAGTCTGCAAATATAAATTATTTCTTCCCTCACAAAGTTTTCATACAGCCCAGCCTCGAGGTCTGGCATTTGACTTTCCAAGTAGCTTCTGCCCTTTCCAAGCCCCATCATCTTTTAAGCGTATTAGCACTATTCCTAGCAATTCCTTGTGTCACTCTCCGTGACAAAATGTTGATTAGGGAGAAAGCTAATTCTCTTTTTCCACTCTTAAAGTTTAAATCTCCAGAAGTAAAGAGTAGTCCTGAATCTCATCATCTTTGAATATAAGATGCTTAAGAGATACATTAGGCAGATCACTATTCTTATGAAAAAATGCATATTCTTCAAACATTATTCTCCCTTTGTCTTTTCTTCTGCAGTTGAATATAAGAGATTCAACTAGAAAACCTATTCTTTCCATAACAAATATACCAAGTATAGCATTATTTTCCCACTCCAAGCGGTCAGTGATTTAAGTACTGCTTGAGACAGGTTGTAATCTTAATGCCATGTTTAGCAGACAGTGGGTCTAATCTTACTTTAATTTGCATAATTTTTTTAATCCATTTTCAGCTCACATGGTCTTCTGCATCAGTAAGCTTTCTAGTTTGTTCTTTGTTTTCCTTTTGAACTACCTGCTTAAAAGTTATCATGAAATACCTTTTCATTTTTTGTTATCCGAATTAGTAAACAAGGATGTTCATATTTAACTATTGTGCCTGCTGTGGCTATAAGCAGAAGCCACTATGAACAGTCCAGTGCCTCTGCTAAAACACAGATATATACTGACTGTTTCATTTTACAAAATAATGTATTTTCAAACCTTCTTGATCTGCAATTCACAGTCATGTTTTAGTGGAAGTCTTTGAGTCCAGGGCTCAATCACCCTTGTTATGCTTTAATCATATGTGTAAATTGGAATTATTTGCACGAAAGTCTTGAGAATTGGATCCTTGAACTACAGTTTTTACCTCCCACATGGTGTGATAGTGTGAGTTCACATTTTATCTCAGTTCTTCTTCCTCTTCCTCATCTTCCATTTCCTCTTCTGAATCATCCTGATTCTTTGAACTGTTGCTGAATTCAAGGTTCCCTTCAATATCCAGTACCTGTAAGTGCTTTAGGTTTTGGAAGGTACTTTCTTTCAGTGCTCCAACTGCAATCTTATTAAACCTGTAAACAAACAAAAATGCCCTTCTGTTAAAATAAACCCATTTTTTATATCCAACACAGAAATGAGGAGACTTGGAGGAAGCCATTCTGCAGAGTTCCTCTAACTTTACACTGACCCAAGTTACTCTGTCTTTACACCGACCCACAACAGTGCTCTAGAAGTGCTGGCTCCTCTGGATGGGGGAAGGAAACAAAATCATTATATTGGAATTCCTCCCCCACAAATTCTTTCTCTTGCTATTCTGCTTCCTCCTTCCCAAAGAGGAAAGTCATCTGCTCCATAGCCCACATTTCAAAGTGTAGCTTGATTTTTCATGAGATTCTCTGTCACCCCTTGATACCTTAATTCTTCACCCACAAAACTCAAAATATTGGTACCAAGTATTCCTTAGAAAAAAAGCAACATGCAGTAATTTTTCAGCTGTTATTTGTGTTTCCAGGAATACAAATAAACTAATCTGCAGTTTAAGAACCTCTCACATTTACTGCTTGGTCTGTGACTTGTGAACACGATTAAAATCATATTCTGTCTAATATTCCATATGTATGTTATTGTTTCACAGTGATTAATAGTCTCCCATTAAAAAATACAACTTAGCTTGGGTGGAGTTGCCTCCTAAATATGTTAGCAAAACTGTTTTGCAAATTCCTTTCTTCTTTATATAGAAATATAGAATGTGGTATGTGGTTTCTGGTTCACATCCAAGCATTCACTAAAATCTCATAAATGTGAGCAGCTGAATAGACAGACTGCTCTAATTTACACCAGACTTTGTAATTTTATTTGCCTGGTATGGAATCATTCATCCAAAAAGGTATGCTCCAGAGTTATTCAGAACTACAGGGCAGTTTAGTTGCATACAGACAAAATAAGACCATATTTAGTCTTGTGCAGACTGAGCTTTTTGAACACATCCACTGGATCAGTTTAATCCAATATTCTATAGGGATTCATAAGTTACTTCTAATAAATATTTTCAATAATATGCCATCAGTTTAAAACTGAATATATTACTGGGACAGATTCTTGCTTCACTTCTTGTGGTATAAAGCTCTGCTTAAACCAGTTACATTACTGTGATTTTACATTACATGTAAAAAAGGTCAGTATCTGTCACCTATAAAAAAAAGTCCTCATCCAACTGACAGAGTGAGAAAAAACACCAGCAAAGCTTCTAATCTTAGTTACGTAAGTGCCACAGTTGTAACTTGCCACTTGTTTCTGACAAAACTATCAAGGGAATGTGCACAACTTCAACATCAGTGAGGGTGTGTGACTAGAGGGGGATTTTGTCAAAATCCAGGGCCAACAGGCCCAGGCAAAGCTGCGCTCCTATAAGTGGGCTGTAAACTTCTGGCTCACAGTTGAATATTGGAATATGACACAATATTAAACATTAATTTCCCAGAATTACTAACATGCCAATCCATTCTAATAAGCACAGAAAAGACAAGCTCTCTGAAGAGAAAGAGCTTATTATGTGTATCCGTGTCTTTCCTGAGCAGATGAACATAGCTTCCTCACATATTACTATAAAACAAAGTTGCTCATTTAGAAAGTTAGCATTTTTAACACTTCCTAAAACGTAAGCAATTATGAAGTGGACAAAGAAGAAAATAAATCTTGTGTGCTTAAGTGGAAACTTGACCTTACCTGAGGTAAATCCCCTTTATTTTGGGTGTGGATTCAAAAGCATGCTCTGAAACCGTTGTGATCTTGTTGTTCTGGAGATACAGATATTCCAGAGATTCCGGCAGGCCCAATGGGATGGATGTCAGCTGGTTGCCAGCCATGTCTAGTGACTGCAAGGAAGAGACAACCAGTGGTCAAATAAATAACTGAATTTAAATATTAGAAACAATCCAGAAGATATTTAAGTTTGAATTGATATTTACTATAGCATACACTAATTTAATCTACCCCTAATTTGCATCTAGGTAAGTGTGGCCAAGACAGTTCTACTCTCTTACACTGCTATTTAGCATCCTGATTTCACATCAGACATCATGCTGGTTTGTTTTGGAGCTCCAACATTTCTTTATCTCTGTCCCCAGGCTTTAAGTAAATTAAAAACAGGCTGGGTTTGAGATATGCCTGAGAATTCCTTGGAAGCTGCTACTGCAAACACTTCCCTGGCTAAGGTTAGGGACTAGGTACAGCTACACATAAAAACATCTGGAAATATTCTAACATGGAGGGAGACATCAGGACTAAAGGTTGTTATCACTCCTCTGTTTAATTTTATGCAAGAGAATGGATCAATAGCAGTGTTTTGTTATCCTGTATTGCAGCATTTTCATAGCACCAAGCTGACACACACTAGTTACACACTATTCAAAGCTACACTTCTGCAAACAACATGATTTCAGTGTTTTTATCCCCCACATAATGCCAGTCTGGCAAACAATTATCATGGAATCATAGAATCGTTTAGGTTGGGAAAAAAGCTTTAAGATCATTGAGTCCAACTGTTAGCCCAGCACTGCCAAGTGCATTATGTAAAAGTGTTGCTTTGCAGTTGCAGAAAGTCTCCAGTGATTTCCATGGAAACAGTGAGGACTAAAGCCTTTACTAAGTACCTGCACGATCAGGATCTTATGTGCTGGTTATCAGTCAAATACATTCCAGTGCACCAACTCAGAAACCACTCGCACAGTTAAGCCCTTAATGATAAAAAATATTCAACTATAACTATAATGAAAACAACTAACCAACAGTAATACTATTCCAAAGAAAAGCACCAGCCAAAAATGCACCAGTAGTCCCACAGAATTTTAAGTGTGTGCTATTATCTGAACCTTGTTTGATGTGAATGGGGTTTGCTGTGGGGTAGGTCCAACTGCAGGGCCAGTGTTTGATTCTCCAACGTTACTTTGGCTTGACACTGAGGAGTGACAAGGGAGTGACAGTAGAATGAAAGTGCCATGAAGTAGCTGGAATGGGCCCTACAAGAATAAAAGCTTATTCCAACCAAGTCAAGCTGCCTAACAGGTCTCATGACCCAATTTTGTTTGAAAATAAAACAACCTACATTTTTATTAAGTTACTGGAGAAAAACAATCCAAGCATCTGTAATTCTCAACAGCATCTTCCTTCCAGACTGCTTTTCATGTTGGGTATATTTGCATGCACACACACTCACACACACATAAGTGAGGCATTAAACAAAGGCAAAGTGTATTATTAAACCATGGATCAAATCTGCAGCTGATGCAAACCAACAGCTCTGCAGATACTGTTGCTGCATTGCTGATTCATATTAACTGAAAAACAAGCTATTGTTTAGTCCCAGAAACAACAGAAAGGGAAATGTTCACACAGATTAACGTTTGGATTGTCTGAACACACACTGGGGCCAGTGTGACATATGTTCCATGTCCCTTATCCCTGATCTGCTCTGAGATGTGCACTCTTTGCCTGCACAGTGACCATATGAACCCACAGTGGCTGCCATATGACAAAGGTAATACCTTGCACTGCAGGAAAGGGGCTGTTGCCTAAAAGGAAATGCAGACAAATCCTTCAGCCAGTGTAACAATTGTGAAAGGTTATCTTGCACAGCACAAATCTGATTGTTCCAGCCTGCCTTATGGTTTGTGTTTCACTTTCTCCAACAATTAAGCAAATGAGAAGACTGCTGATTGAATCCAGACCTCCTAGCTGCTATCCAGGTGCCTTAGCCAGCTGAGCTGCTAAATCCTACAGCTTGGCCTGTCTGACCATAAGCTGACGTGGGGGCTTTGAGAATTAAGAGTGTTTTTGTTTATGCATTCCTTCCTCCTGCTGTCTCTATTCAGAGCTGATTTTAAGTCTTTTGGGAGACAAGCTATTTGAAAGGCCTAATTTCAGTCTTAATGACAACATTCACTAATGTTTTTCTGAAAATATAGGACACTGCTAGGGTTCAGAAACAAAGCTGTCTTTACATTTCCCAGAACTAGCAGTACATGTTGGGCCAATGCCCTGGCCAGCAGTGGGAGGTACCCACCTCTGGCACAACAGCACATCATTTCTATCTAGAAACAGAGTGTGTAGCTCTTACAATGCAAGCCCAGAACATGAGGACCAAGCACATCTAGTACTGGTGTTATGTAGTTTGGCTTAGGCAGACAGACAGGGACATCAGCATCAGTACAACAATTAGAGAAGGTGGTGTTTCTACCTGGAGACTGCTGAGTTCTCTCCAAGCTCTTGAATAAATTGAATTTACTTTCAGTTTATTGTTGCTCAAATACAGTTCCCGCAGTTTTGTCATCCCAGACAAAGTCCCTTTTGGGATGATGCTTATCTCGTTTTCCTTCAGCTTCAGGACCTGCAAGTTCTTTGGAAAGCCAAAGGGGACTGTGTGGAGATTGTTTCCAGAAAGATCCAAGGACTTTAGTTGCCTCAGCTTACGGAAGGCCTCCCGATGGATCTGGGGACTTTTGAGCTTGTTGTAGCTCAGGTTCAGCTCTTCAAGGAAGTAAGTGGTAGCAAAGTCATTCCTGTTGATCTCAGAGATCTGGTTATGAAGGATCATAAGTGTTTTCACACGCCGGGGCAGCCCACTGGGAATCCTTTCCAGCATGTTGTTGTACAGGTGGACAGTGTGCAGCTTTTTTAAGCCCTGGAAGGCTAATGGGTGAATCCCTCGGGCTTTTAATTTGTTATTGTGGAGCAGAAGGTACTCCAGGTTCTTAATTTGGGTTAACACATCTCTGTCAATCACCTTAATTGCATTCTTCTCCAGGTGGAGGAGGACGATGTTTCGAGGTAAACCACTTGGGATTTGTGAGAGGTTATTGCTGGACAAATCCAGGTATTCAAGACTGGACAATTTCCTTGGGAAAGAAGGAAAGAAAACATTCTCCATTTAGATTTGGCAAGGTGAAATGATAACCAACTTCCCCTAGGATTTTACAATCTTTGCTTTAGTGTCTTTTTACCCAGGACAGCTCCCACTATTGATTGCCCTTTTTGTCTCATGGTGTGACTGATGTGCACAGCAAAACAGGGAGCTCCTGTATTGCCATTAGGGATTCAGACTAGGCACTGCCATTGCTCCCCAGCCACACCAGCCAGAGGACCTGCCACAGTCCACAGACACCCAAACTGCCACTGGGCTGAGTTTTGCAGTCACTGTTCTCTCATTTGACACCACAGATAGCAATACATGAGCAAGTTCAGTGAAGAAAGACCATGAGGAAGGTGCCACGGGAGCGCCATCAGAGCACAGAATTTAGCTCTTGGTTTCACGGAAACGAAGCCTGAGCAGGAGTAATTTCTGTCTCTCTGAAAGGATATATTGAAACTGAAAAACAGGTCTGCTTTTTTGATGATGAAATGTTCCTCTTATGAAAAGCAGAAATGCTAACTCAGTGTCCTGGGCTAAGGTAGTGAACTTCTCCTGACCCTCCAGCATTATGGAAGTGAGTTAGGACTAGAGCTGCTTTGTGTAAGCTACTGAATCTGGATTCCATGGTCTCAGTTGAAGCTAAATTAAATCCTCAGTTCAACCACTTATACCAACTGGATGTGGATCAATGGTGTTATATGCCAGGACTGAGGAATCCTGGATTCCCTGTATTTCAAGTCACTGTCTCAGTTCAAAGATTCAGTCTGCATGGCACTACATAACCCACTGCAGGGGACTAGGAAGTGTTCAGGAAATGTGAGAACTAATGCATTACAGAAATTACGTACTGCTTACTACACTGCTATTCACAGCTATCCAAGCATTCTCTGAATGAACAAATAGAGTCTTTGGGTAAAGAACTTCATTGCTGCAATTTGTAAGGTTTTCCCCAGCTTGGGAACTTCTTAACAGAGATTATATGTCTAACATGACCTGGAGGTGGACTCAACACAGATATTGTGAACTACTAAGGGAGGTTTCTGGGAATGGGAAATGGAAAAGGAAAGCACGGTCTGATACATTTTCATGTCTGGAGATCAGGAAAGTTTAAAGAACTAAGTTATGGGCAGGACCAATTCTGTGGTCTGGATTTTCAGGTAAAACAAGCAGAGAAATAACTGTTAACTTTTCGAGTGCTAAGTCCCAGGCTAAATTTAGGACAGCCAAAGGCTATTTCTGTTACACCAGTTTGTAGCAAAGCTTTTGCAGCCATCTGGCTATTGAGCAGCACCATTGCATCCCTGCCTGCTCCAGTCCCCTGCACTGGGGTGCAGCTGGGCCAAGTGAATTCGCAGCTCTGTGTCTGTGGCTGCTTTCAAGTCACCTTCACAGAAACTCAGAAGTGGCTTAAGCAAAGATGAAGGAAGGTCTGGCCTTAACTTCCAGTGAACTGCCCTAGAAATTGGAAAATCCAAAGCAACCTCAGTTTTGACTGGTTTGGAAGAACAGAGACTGGCTGCCAACATTGTTCCAGGTGACTTTACCCAGAGGGCACTTAGTACCTGGTGTGACTGGGGCTGTGGCAGTCAGAGGGTGGCACAGGCTGATGTTCAGTGTTGTGTCTTTCATATAAAACTATTCTGCAACCACTCACTCAGACCTCTGCTTTTGATGGCAGCATCTAAGATTTAGCAGTGAAATGCACAATGTCATTCAGCTTTTAATAAATTTGATTTTTATGATGTCCTTTGTTCAGTAGATGTACAACTGTACCACAGGAGGCACAGACACAGAGGTACAAACTGCACAGCTCGGTCTCACCAGAAAGTTTCGTTGTCCATTCCTTCATTAGACAAGTAGTTGTTCTGTAAGTACAGCTCCCGCAGACCTGTGAGTTCACTGAAGGCTCCTTTGGGAATCTTCTCCAGCTTGTTGCTCTAGAGCACAAAGCACATTACTTGGCATGAATCAACTCAGGACATTCAGGTTCTGTTCCACTAACACTAACACAGGCAATTAACCTTCAAAAGGGTTATATTTCAGGGGGCATTATAATCCCACTGAAGAAATAAATACAAATACTAGGCTGCAATAATACAAACTATTTTTATTGATTCCCCATGGAACCTTTGGGCTAAGAAGGCAGAATTTGCCCTGTGCCTCCCAGACAGTTTTATTTTGCATTCATAGTCTTCCACCTATGTGCAATGTATACTGTAATTTAGGCAACCACCTCTGGAGTTTGCTCAGAATTTCTAGGTCTTGTAAGACAGATTTCACCATAAAGAAGAATTAGGCTGGAAGCTGGGAATCAGCCATCCTTCCAGCATTAATGTCATTCCCAGAGGTACAGTTCCTGTGTTTAATTACTCCCATGGCCTTAGTGTGGCTTCGGAGTAGCCAGCAGGCAGAAACAAATGGAATATAAAACTAAATGCCACTTAGAAATTCTATACAGGAATTCTAGGAAATATAAAAGGATATAAAAACATTGACACTGAACTTGTTAAAATTCCCTTGATCCACATACACACAATAATGTGATGGACAGACTAGACCAGATGCATGTGCCAGCTAATATAGATACCACCACAGATAGATTTTGGCTCAGAGTCTCGATGAATAGTAAAAGAAAAAAGATCTGTCACATCATAAGTACATCTTTCAGACACTTTTGGTCCACTATTGGCTGTCTCTCATTTCCCACTGTCCTGGTTTTTTCCCAGTCAAAATACCAAGGTAAACGTAACTGCTGTAACAGTGCACTTGCAAATAAAACACTCATTTCTCTCCTCAGCATCTGTGCCCTTAACACAACTGGGGACAGCAGGGAAGGAGACAAGTTCAAAGCATAATCCTCAAAGTCTGAGATCCCTTCAGGAGACAATGATTACCTATAAATGTCAAAAAAATGCAGGGGACTAATAAGTTCACACTTTGCAGAGAAATTCCAGTGATTTAAAGGATCAGGCTGGTTGCCTTTACTGCTCTTCAAGCTGGAGAAGCCTATTCTCTAGAAGACTTTAACGGGAATTAGTGGTGAAACCTTCAAGGGAAAAGAGAGTTGGGAGGCAGCAGAGAACTGCCTAAGTGCAGGGGTTGATAACAGACTCCAGCCTAACCATGTCCAAGGAGCTGTCAGCACTCAGAGCAGGCGGATCCAGGGCTCCCCACCGCTGCAGCTCTGCCATTGTTACAGGGCTGGGATCTCCAGCACAGACAGGATGAAGCCTTTTTATCAAAATCAGATGACATGGAATTAAAAATGCTGGAGAGCAGTTAATACCACAACTTCTGCTATTGCACTGTTGCTGGACAAGTTGTAGCAGTAGAGAATCACTGATCCAAACTGTGTTGTCGGAATTGCCAGGTCAGTAGCAAACAGGAGACACTGATGGGAAACAGCGTCTGTGTGAAAGGAGTTAGTGAGCATAGCCAGGACATGGTGGGTAAGCAGCTTCAGGAAAAACAGCACTGGTGGCAAACTTAACCAGGAGGTCAGTCTCTGGATGGCCATGGAGAATGACCCACCTTCTTGCTCTAATATATATTAATATCATTATATGCAAGGAAGAGACCAACAGTGCAACCACACAGGCATTTGCAATACGTTACCCTGAAAACACAGAAAAGCATTTCTGTCCCCTGTGAGCATCCTGTGTTTTGCAAAAACGCACTGTTACTCATGGACAACAAAGGAAGGACATGGGAGACAGCAACTGTTGAGGATATAGCAGAGGAGACTGAAAATGGGCCTGGGGATGTTTCCAAGTGCACTGGAATGGTTTGGCTGTGTGGGCTGAATCCCACACAACACAGCACTTTGTCACAACCCTAAAGGAACACAAAACTTTGTTGTCATTACCTGTAAGTGTAATTTATACAGTGCTGGAGGGAGATTCTTTGGAACATACTTCAAGAAATTGCTGGACATGATGAGTATCTCCACATTAGCAGAGCCATTGAACATGTTATCAGGTAACCCAGCATCTGAAAGTTTGTTGTTATGAAGATACACAGATCTATTGGAAGGAGATAAAAGATGAAGTTCAACAGACAGTAAGATCTGGAGTTGTTTTTTTTTACTGAGAGAAAGCTGTTTAAAACTAAATTTCAATCTTTTATTCTTTCCTTGAGTTAATTGGATTTGTTTTTAAAATGTGCCCTTTAATTTAGCAAGGCTAGATGCAACACCAAATGGTTGGTCCCAATACTCTCTGAAATTTAGGTCTATTCAAAATCCAAACCTGCACATGAATACAAATTTCAGTTTCTCTCCTACTCCTAGAACTCAGAAAGGCAAAAGATACCGACAGAAAGACAGCAGATTTAGTCTGGAAGAATTTTGTTTTTTAATGAGCCTTTGGGATTGAGAGAAATGGGGTTTCTTATTTCCCTCTGATCTTCCTACTTTAAATCTTTAATATTCACAGAAGAGTTTTTCCAATCAGGTTTTCATAAATTGATTCATTGTTTCTTATACAGCTTTCAATTCTGTACAAAACAATGGACCCCTCTGAAGTTATTCCTGCTTTTCACTGGCTCAACTAAATGAATTCATTTGACTTCTTTTTACTGACTTTGATTCCCTCTCCCTTTCCTGTGTTTACCCCAAGATGCAGCAGGCAGCTAAATTTGTAGAGACAGGTTAAAACTGCAAAAGAGCACAGTATCAAAGTAGGCTTTTTCAACTTGTACTTGGATTCTCCACCAGTTGCAGAAAACTTGGCAACGTCCTGCTGGAAGGAAGGAAAGGCTCAGTATGGAAATACAATCGTGTGATCACACACTCCGGGGAGTTCAGAGCCACACTGGAAATATTGTTTACCCTGCATGGTCAGCTGTACTTTTAGCTCACAAATATTTGCCTTTCTGAAAACCTTGCTTTCCAAATCATCACTCTGAGACCATGAACTCTGCTGGGGGCAAATAAAACAACAGAATCAACTGTGTTAGGATTTTATATCAGCAATCTTGGAAATCAGTGAGTTCCTATTCTGATTAAAATTAGTGTTGGTATAGGAGAGTGTGAAAATCACTTCAGAAGAGTCAGTAATTTCAATATGAAGTCAAAACACAGCAGCTTCTGCACCTCAGATTAAGGAAGAAAACATGTATAAATGTAATTTCTTTCATCATGAGATATTGCCAGAAATCTGTGAGTGACTCAGCCTTTTTAGGTTCCAAGAGCCCAGGAGACAAAAGGCCCAGTAAGTGCAGAGGAGCTTCAGCTCCCAAAGAGTTCAGTGGGAATGGAGAGTTCTTCAGTTCATCACAGGATCGGACTGCAGGGGCTCAGCTGGGTCAGCTGCTATTAACTGCTTCCAAACTTGGCTGCATAAATTGCTCCCAACAGAGTTTGGAAGGTCTTTGCAGGATTTGGATGGTGCAGTGTCCATACAGATTACTCAGAACCCCTTTGGAAAAGCCCCTGTCTCCCAGGAGGTGGTCTGTGTGCATCTGAGTTTGGGATGGGCCAATGTGCTGCTCTGGATCCAGCTGAGCAAATCCCAACCTGAAACCAGCAGAGACTTTGACACCAGGTCTGAGGGTATGAGCCACTTCTGAAGGTGCCGAAGGGCTAAGCTTTCCTGGCATTGAGTTATACTCACCTGCACTCAGTACTGCACTCTCCACCCCATTTTATTCTTAAAAATGAACGGGGTCTAATAAAACTAGAGATTTCTAAACATTAATCTCCATTTTGAGAAACTAAAGCTGTTCTTTTCAATTCTTAAGTGACACACAAATGAAAGGGGGACAATTTCATTTTATATATGCAAAAGTGTCTGGCAGCCAGTAAAAGCCCTTGGAATGTGTTTGTTTGAGAGAGTATTTGATCTTTCATGCTGAGAATAATAAACAGTCAACTTCTCTCCAAAAAACACAAGTGGGCAATGACATGGTTTAGCCAGATAGTTTCTTATCACCCACCAGTTGTATCCAAGCAGTGGCAGAACACTGTTGTTTTACTTCTCTGTCCCTTACCTCAATTTTGGTTTCTGTCCAAATGTGAGCCCATATATCTTAGTGAGATAATTGGCTGCAAAATCTGCACTGATCAAGGCATTTGGGAGGAATTTTGGAGCCACTGTTAGCTGGAAAAGAAGTACACAGGAGAATTCAAATTAAATGCAACAAGTTTTAACCAAGTACTAGACAAGCAGTAAAACACTTGCAAATTTATCTTCTCTAAACAGGCAAAAATAAATTAAACTGAATGTGGATTGCATGAACGAAAACAAATTGTCCCCACTCACTAATCTCTCCAGGAAGGAGACAGACTTTTGCTCTAAGATATGAGAATGTTTGTTTTGGTTGGAAGAGTCCTGTCTCTTTTTGGTGGAAGAAATCAAGAGATTGTTATTCAGAGAGCAAACACTTTGCTTATTATTGTTCCTAATTCCTCAGTTTGCTGTGCCAAGAAACTCTAGCCCACCTCACAGTGACCTACTGCTTACTCTCTTCTGAAAGGATATTATGGAGGGTGACTGTCATTTCATGTATCTGTGCCATTGCATCCATTTACAGAGATCTTTGCAATTTAGGATCCAGGTTCCCAAAGAACAGGAATGCTGGGTTATCAGAAGGGACTTCAAAGCAAAGACCTACTGTACAGTGACACTTTGTTCAATAAACAAGTGATGTATCAGAAAATACAGAAAGGTTCTGTCTCCAAAACTTAATAGTTGACAACAGGTATAGGATTGAATATGTTTGCTCTTGGTCTCTTGCTGTTTTTATCAGGGATTTTGAAAAATAACACTAGAAGCACGTGCACCTGAACAAACTGGTGGAGTGAAGAGCACTGATCAAAATAAGCTCAGTTTTACAGAGCATCCAGATAATGCAATAGCCAGGTTCACTGAGTGGCTGTTAATAGCAAAGTTATTCACCTGGAAACCAGGAATACAGGTTACAATCCAGGCTGGAGGAAAGTTTTCTGGGAAGCATAAACCCATAGATTTTTGCCTGAAGATTAAGCTCTTGAGAGACAAATTAGTAATACAGTGGTGTAACAGAGAGTCCTTGAGCACAGAAGCAGAAGGCACTGAGTTGCAGTGGGCAAGTGCAGTCCCTGTGGTTACAGGTGTTCATTGCTGAGACCACCCAGTATTTTATGTACACTCTGGAGGGCTATGGAGAGAACTTTTCTGGTGAGATACTGAATTCATTGCCATCTAAAGCTTTGAGATCAGGACAGGAAACGGGGACGATGAAATCTGCCTTCTAGCTTGAAGTTCATGGGATCTGTCAAGCTTTGTCCTCACAGCTCTGTTGTGTGAAACAGAGCCTGGTCCTTTCAGCCAGCAAGGCACAGCAAGACTCACATGAGGAGAAAACATATTTTTCAAATTTTTATTACCATAAAACTTCAATTGGTTATGAATGATAGTGTAAAACCAAAAATATTTAAAATATGAACACTGTGTGAGAGAATAGATACTTCATTGGAGAACTGCCTAACCCAAGTCTTAAACTATGTATTTATCTAAAGGGTGTCTACACCCATCTAGTGTGTCAAGTGTGCATTGATGAACTACAGCCATGAACTTCCAATTTACTGGACTCATAATACAGTCCTTTCTTTAAAAAAGATGAAAGTAGGTTATTTACTGTTCTTCATTTTCAGCTGTCCTGAAATATCCATCCTTAGCCTGTCTTAATTGTTTAATGGTCACAAACACAGAAAAGACCTTTCCCACAAATCACACTCCTGTCAGTATTCCCAGCTGGTATGTAAGCAGTGGAATTAGGCATTTTGCATATTACTGCAGTTGCCACAATACTGCTCTTGGCTTTATGGCAATGTCTCGTCTCCTGATGTGGGAGATGTGGTACCAGGGAACTGGATAAAGGCACTCATCACTGACTAGGAAGGTCTGACAGTGCCTCAAATAAGTCTCTACTGTGACATAATAATATTGAGAATTCAGACAGAGGAAACAAGACTTAATCATTTTCATACAGGGTGGCACATTAAAGCTTTTCTCCAGAAACATGGTCAGTTAGGTCATAACTTCTATACAAAACAAAGGGCATGGCTCAGACATGTGGAATGAGAGACATCAGAACCACAAGAAAGAGGAAAGAGAAAGAGAAGTTTCATCCAGAAAGAGTATTCACTTGCTCAGGACTTTGCTTTGGCATTTCAGCACTTGGTCATGAGACTGATTCCACTGGTTGACTGCTTGAAGGATTAATGCTGGATTGTTATAAGTATTAGCAACAATGAGGTTGACTGAATAGCTTTGTCCAGTTTATTGCCTAACAACCTGCATTTCTCCAGCTGCAATTTCCTTGCAGCTTTACTGCTGGACCTTCCTTTCCATATGGCAGAGAGTGTTTTCTCCACTGTTAACTAATGAATTCAGAAGGTTAATACAAAAGTTTTGAAACAAGTTTTCGTGCTTAGATCAAGCTTTGATATAAACAGAAGTACTGGATCCAGGTGAATCCTGTATCACTTTGGGGATATGAGGAAGTGCAAAACCTTCTGTCACCAACTTATAGGAAATCATGACAGCTCAGGACCTGGTCTACAGTTTGGTGAAATAATTTCTTTACTGTGCATTCTATATGAGAGATACAAAATATGAGAATGGGGTGAAAAATTAGAAAGGAAACTACAGCATCCCTTCTTTCCTTGAAGTACTTGTCACTCATAACCCACAGAAGGCTTTCAGTGTATTACATTTCTTTTCTCTGACCATCTATGCCAGTTTAATGAAAGTTGATTTAGCTACATCTGATGGGATCACAATGGAAGATAAACATGCATTAAGATAATCCATAAAACAAGGAGCAAACTACCAGCAAATCCCTGCTCTCCTCCAGACACCGCAGTAACTTGATCTGCAGTGTTTCCTGCAGTTTGAAGCCAATCTGGTTTGTCCTGGCTTGGGATTTATAAAGAAATGTGTTATTTTTGTGGGTCCACAACTTCTCACTATAACTGCTTCTGACATTCGCTGATGTTGGCAATTTCTTTTGGGACTCTTTTTTTCTCTGCCACAGAGCCAGAAAAACCAAACACTTTGTTTTGTCGCACAGGGAAAATCGGAGTGCAAGGTTCTGGAATATTACTCACAGTCTGGCTTGTTCCTTTTTATGGGGTTATTAACTGCCAAGATTGTTACATGGAAATGGTGCTTGAAAGGGAGAAAAGAACACAATGTTACTGTACTAAGGAATGGGTTCTATTCTCAATCACTCCATACATTTCTGTATGGAGTGATTCTGGATGTGTCTTGGCCTGACCGAAACCTAAATGGGGCCACATGTATTTAATGAAAACATCAAATGGTCCCAGATTTTAAGAGGATAATAACATATATATACAGACATAAATATATATATAGAGAGAGAGGGAGGGTGAGATGGAAAGGCAGGATTTTTGTAGACAAAGAAGCTCTGTCTGATGTTTTAACTTATATTTTTCTGTGGTAGCCCAGTTTCTTCTGTAACAAATATTTGTGGACAATCACTGGGGATAAAGAAAGCTATAATGGTAACCACCCAGATGTAAGGGTATGTGAGAAGCTATTTCATTTCCTAGCCTTGGCAGGAAAGATGGGCTTCTGTCAAGACATCCAACTTGGGTCAGTAACAGGAAAGCACTCAGGATCTTCTCCATTAGAAAAAGAAATTCAGCTCCTACCCCTGCAGCTAAAAGAATAAATTAATGACTGGCACATTTCACTGTGTGTGGGTATCCTCCCCAGTCAGGGAAAACTGGATAGCCTTTGACAGATCTTGATGGCTCAAACACAGGTACTAAGACCTGTTTGTTCACAGATTTTTCAACCAGCCTCATCTGATGAGACAGGCAGCGTTTCACACCATTCCCTCACAGTTTATTTGCATACAGGCAGAAAACAAATCTGCATGCAGCTGATCCAAAGCCTACTCATGACAGTGGTAACTCATGCACGCAGGGGCTCTCTGTACCTCCCTATACAAGGGAAGCCTTCCACCAGTTGCACAAATAAATAAGTGTTCAAAATATACCTGCATGTGTAGCCTCTAAATTTTTCACATATTGATTGTCTTGACCTTAGATGACCCTGCATTAGAATATCACTTTAGCACATTTTGCTTATTTAGTATGTACATTTTAAAAGAATTGACAACTTGGTCATTTAACTTCCAGAACCAACTTAGAAAAGAACTCTGAAAGGCTTCAAAGCCACTTACCTTATTGTTTGCTAGGTACAGGTAATTCAGGTTCTCCAGATGTTCAAATGCTTCCTCTGGCAACCCTTAAAAACAGGAATAACTAATCAGTGACACTGGCACCTTACTGCCTCTCTGAGCAAAAATACCAGGGGGCAGCTTTCTCCCTCAGGTATCGTTCATGTGAGATTGAACTACTTTTTATGGCCAATGAAACAATCTGGGTCACACCTATTGTTGTTATTTTTTTTTAATTAAAAATGCCACAAAACAATACTGGCCGTTAAGAGCAATGGAAGACTATTAGGAATGTTGAGCATACAAGGTTTGTGGCCAACCCCCCTGGCAGGAGTCAGGGGCAGAGCTGGGCAGACCCTCTGTACAGCTGATTATCGGTGCTCGCAGCAACCACACTGTCTGAGCAGTTTCTTTTGTAATTTGCTTATGATTCCGCAAATCTTTTTTCTTGCAAGGGCATAATCTGAGGTTGCTCAATGAATGGATCTGATGTATGACTACATTGCCAAAATCACACCAGTATCTGCATGCCACAACCCTTCCCTTGTCCTGCTCCCCACAGCAGAAATACCCATCCGCACAGTAACCAGCTCATATCTTATCCTCCCCCAGTAATTATTAATTTTCAGCTGAGTCACTCCACATCCAGCTGATCACACAACCACAATTGCTGTCACAATGGAAACACTGCAAGTAACACTTTCACCTGGCACTGAGATAACCAGGAGTCAAAGGTGAAGCCGTTTCCCATGTCAAAACACGCTGGAAACTCAGGGCTGCACTGCAGCTTGTGAAAGGAACAAGAAGGCCCAAAGGTAATAATGTCAAAGGCTGAACCTATTAGGCACAGCCTTCCCCATGCTGTGTAGGAGTGCTGTGCCTTGGGGCCCAGGGATAATGTTCCCACATTCTCAAAAAAGGCTGTCCTCTGTCATTGCAATAAGGAAAGCAAGAGCATTCGGATCACAAGTTAATGTGACGCACAACAATTAGATCTTTTGTATCCCATATCATGCTTTCTTACTATTTACTCCAGTTCCTGAGTTTCTTTTGCTTTCCTTATTAACTCCTTGTCAAGTTTCCCTCATAAGCATATGACCGAGCAAGGAAAACCTGCCTACAAAAATCAAAATAGTTTTGGAAGGGTAGAAATGTCCTTATTTGCAATGTATATTTGTATTTATACCAAATTCAATGAGGACAGAACTGGACTGAACTACACAAATTGACTGCCCAGACTGAACTGAACAAGGTCAGTCAGGAGGAAATCATTGAGCACGTGGAGGTTTCTGGTTCCCCAGTGCATTGCATGGAAGAGCCTGTGGGACCAGAGGGAGTTTCCTGGATGAGGAGATCTCACGCCACAGCACACAGAGCTGCTGCCAGGTCTCCTCCTGGTTCAGCAGGGCTGCATTCTTGTACACTGAGTCTTGTGTTTCAGATGATAAAGTGTCTCCATGATCTGTGTGATGGCCAAAGGAGTGAGGCTTGCAGAGAACCACTCCAACCAAGTCAATCCATCACTCTGTGGCTTTCTTTATCAGGTGTCACTGGTGTTCTGGAGGCACAGGCTCTGTCCACCCCATGGCTCTGCCAGCTCACCTTTTGAAGTCAGCCTGTTGTTTTGCAGATTGAGAGTTTCCAGTCTGTAAAGACGAGCAAGTTCTTCTGGAAAGATTTCTTCTATTTGGTTATTCTAAGAAAATGGAGAGTATTAATCATCAGCAAAGTAATCCAAGAAGGATCCCATTAAACCCAGACTGTGAACTCCAATAAAATCTGGAAGTGACCCCATCATGCCAAATCACTGTCAAGACTTCTCTCTGTAATGAGCCAAACTCAAATATCAAAACCAAGACATCCAAACCCAGCAGCATTGGAAGATCTGAACTTCTGCTCATCCCCAGGAATACCTGTCTTATGCACTGGTAGCACACAGAGTGAGATTGTGCCTGGCAAGGCCCATAATCCATCTGCCAAAGCCAAACCTCGTGGCTGCAGCACAGCAGCTGCTACAAGGTTGGCATGGTGGATTTCCAAGTTTATCACTTCTGTTATTCCTGGGTTGTTTTAAAAGCCACTTGTCACAGAAAGGGAGCATCAAACTGGGCTCACTTTCACTAGTATCACTGTCAGGGGTGACTGCCATCAGATTTTCATTAATGTGCTGACTAACATTTTGACTATTAATGAGTGATTCTATTTTAGGATTTAAGGGATCAGTTAAGGTCCTGCTGTGCTGGAAGCCAGGCCAGTGCACAGAAAGTGACAGCTGCTGCTCCAAAAAGCTGCTTTTCTTTTGGCAGCAGAGGCAGGAGCCATGGCTAGCACTCACCTGGGACAGATCTGCTGAGGAAGGTGCCAGCTTACATTACAGTTTTTCTAACTGGAAAGCTCTGAACAAAATCTGCATTTCATTCATTGGACAGAACTGGCAGATAGGAGCAATAAACCAAAAGCAAGGCATTGGAAATCCTGGAACTGCTGCCACTGCTCAGAGGAGGCACAGCCACAGGGCTGCCATGCTCTGGCCCTGCCACACCTGCAGGTGTCAGAGCACTGCCATGGAAAGGACACCTGCCCAAATGCTGGTCATAGGGATCAATTAACTAACAGCAGAGCATGGAAACCTGCTGACAGTCCAGGACATCCTGCTTCTTCTACCTTAAGCTGGAATCTCACAACCTTACGTGTCCTTATCCTAACAAGACATGAGATCTCTGGAGTGGAACCGTTTGCTGCAGGCATGATACCAGTGTCCCTGCCACAGGCAGTGCCACTGGGAGTGAGGGACGGCACTGGCTGTGTCACCCTGCTTCTTGCTGAGTTTGTGTGCTGAGGGAGAGATGGGACACGAGGGAACACGGGCTGGCCCTGTGTCTGCATGGGTTCACTGTGTCTTCAACACCTCGACTAACAGGCAATGCTGCCCAGAAGCTTCTCATCAATGAAGTAACTTAGCCAATCCTTCTCAAAGACACCTGAAAATGAAAGGCCTTCACCAGAAATAGTAACTGTTAGTTCGGACAAAAATTCTTCTCATGAAGCTGTGAGAGACTAAGGAGAAAAATTTTGTATCTTTTGCCCTCCCTGGATCTGCGGGGAGAGAATTAGTGCCGATAACCAGGCGCATCCGTCGAGCTTAAGGCCCGCTGCACCTGCTGCTCCCTGCGGGCAGCCGGGGCGGGGCTGAGGGGAGCGGGGAGGAGCGGGATGAGGGTGGGATGCGGGCACGGCGCGCCCTTACCTGCAGGGACAGGTGGTTGGTGAGCTCGGGCAGCAGCAGCGGGAACTCCTTGAGGTCGATGCCGCCGCAGTCCACGACGCCCTCCTGGGTGCAGCCGCAGTCGCGGGGGCAGGCGGGGCCGGGCCGCGGGGCCGGGCCGCCCTCGGGCTCGGGCTCGGTGTCGGTGTGGGCGGCGCAGCCCAGCGCCAGCAGCGCCGGGAGCCCCAGCAGCGCCAGCAGCGCCCGGCCGCCGGCCGGCATCGCCCCTGCGGGCCAGGACAGCGGGTCAGCCCCGGCACGGCGGGTCAGCCCCGGGGCACGGCCCGGACCAGAGCCCGGCGCCGGCCCCGCTCTCCCGGGGCGCCTTCACGCCCTCTGAGCACGGTTTGGGCACCGGGATGCGGGCCCCGGGCACAGTATCCCCCACACCGGCCCCAGTTCCTCCGGTTATTTATTGCTTTTTTCATATTGAGAAACGCCAGGTGATCCCGGAGATTCATAAAATGTTAGTTCAATGTGGCTGTCGGTCTCACTGCTCCTCACAGTTTTGCTTAGGAAGAAACTCTTCTCGTTATTTAAACAACACAAAGACTGGACAAGAGTGACTCTCAGAGGGGCTGCTACACGTGCATGGAGCAACAACAAAACCTCATGGCTACTGAAAACAAAACGGCCTTCCTATGGATTTTGGACAGTGCTGATCTGAACCTAAGAGGCCTGGCTCATGTTCAGCTTTTATCTTTCTGGCAGCAGGTTAAAATCCAAACAGAAGTTGGATATCGACTGGAGCAGCCAGCTGGCCCTAACCCAGCCCCCTCAGTCCCATTTGTTGCCCTTCTCAGATTTCATACATAAAGGTTTTCAGTCAGGGCTGGTTATGGCCTGCCTTTTCTCCTCTTGGCTATTCTAATCAGAAGCATTCGGCAGTGATGAGACTTACTTAGGCTGATCTTTTAAGGTGAAAAGGCACAGTGGATTCATGACATGAAATAACCCACATGCCTTCTTTGCCTCAGAAACAAGAACCTCCCAGAGCCACGCTGGCAGCTGTCAGAACTGCACATCTCCATTTACACCCACTGGGCTTTGCTGCTTTGCACCAGGGGCTCTCACAGACTTTGGGTGCTTGGGGAGCATTGGACAGATCCTGCTCTCAGTCACAGTCATGAAAATCTTAAATAATTTCTTTAAACACTGACTTATACTTGAAGAAATGGGAGCAGGTGGGACTACAGGGCAGGGCATCCCAAGACATGGATGGTTTTGCTTTGGTCCTGGTCTTTGCTACAAACATGCTGGGTGATTTTAAGCATTTAGCATCGATCCCTCTTCCCCCTGCTCCACTATTTCACAGCTTCCATATAGCTGAATAGCTGAATATAATGAAATTAATCTCTTTTATAAAACATTCCTTGTATGGCAGCTAAATATTAACAGTGAGATCAAAACTGGCCATATGAGTATGCCAACAGTGGATTAGTAAAATCTTTAGGATTTGGTGACCTAATCTCAGAAAATATTTCAGAAATCTTAGAGAAAATAATCTCAGAAAGTATCTCAGGTCTCTAACAAAGTATTTTCCCTATATATCAGCCTACCCTTACAGATACTTACAAAAGAAACTAAAGAAAAAAATCTTTTATATGCAGGTCCCAACCAGCCCTGCTGTAGCAATACAAACACAGTTACATCGTGGTTGGTACTGGGCTCTATAGATTTGCAACATGCTGACTTTTCCACATATGCAGCTGAAAGGATGTTACCAAATTAACATGAAATATTCTGTCTATTGCACAATAAAATTTCAGAGGCAATCTCACCCCCTTGTCATCAATACGCACACTATTGTCTGCTACAATGCCTTTGGAGTGAATGCTGCTCTAGCACAGGGAGACACTTTGGATACAGGAACATCTGTGTACATCTGGAGCGCAGGCAGTAAAACCAGGCATGATTGTGATTTTTAGTTCAAAGAAAGTCTGAGGTAACTCGCTCCATTTCAACTCATTCCCATGGGTCTGATCCAAAGCCTTATTAAGAAACTTTTCTAAAGGAGTAGCTCAAAACCCACCAGAAACAGTCCTCTTCCCTGGCTGTAGGTGGGCTTTGGATCAGGTCCTGCCACCCAGAGACTGAAGGGACCCTGAAACCAGCTCAGGGGCTTCTGCACTGCATCTTTCTGAGTCCAGACAGAACTGGCACCTGCCCTTTGGTGCCCCACAGCACCAGAGACAGGGTGCTACAAATGGCACAGTCTCCAGAGGTAAACTGAAGTTTTAGGAGTTACTGAATGCTTCTCAGTGACTACAGTTACCTCAATAAACAACAGAATCCCTTTCAAAGTATCTCATCTCTTATCTGTTATTGTCCACACATTCTCACAGGACACACACACACAGACAGGAAAAACATCCACCAAATGGGAGGATTCTCCTTCAGAATCAGCAGGTTAACTGAGTTTGTTACACTGAATATCCCTGCTAAAAGCTGCAGCTGAAAGGCAGACTGCTGCTGCAGGTTCTGACAATCCAGCTTTTAAAACAAATAAAGTGCTGAAAAACTCACCTTTGCTGTCAGAACTCAGCTGAATGGAGAAGAACGTTTCTGTTGCCCCCACAGGCTCCCTCACTCATGCCATGTCAGTGACATGCACTGAGCTCACAGTGAGTCTCCGCTTTCCAAGCCAGATCCTTTCCAGATGTGAGCAGCAGAATTAGAGAGAGCAACAGGCAACCCTCTACCAACGAGAGCCTCCTGCACTTCCCAACGAAATCGGAGAGGAATTTTCCAAAGTCACCATATGGGAAAATGTGAGTAGGAAAGAGGAAGCAGCTATTGACTGAATATAAAGACTTGGGAAATAAACAATCTCCCATTACTTTTTGTCAACACAGTTTGCAGGCTCCGTGAGGATGCCAAAAGCCAGCGTGCTGGAATTGGCAGAGGAGAACAGAGACGGTTGTGCTTCTGCATTTCCTTGCAGGAGACTGGAGCTGCTCTGGGACTAGATCTTTGATTCTAGCTGCATTCAACCCAAAATCTGAATCCCACGTGGGAATGTCCTCCCATTCTCTGGGGGTCTGGTTCAAATTAGCTACGAGTGACAGTTCAGCAGTTTTTCCTGCATTTCATCTCCCTCCCCTTTAACTCTCCTTGGTTTTCAACCTATCAACTGATCTTCAGGGACCAGGGATTGACAGGCTGAAACTACAGATGTTTTAGAGGCAAAGTCCCCAAATTTGTTGTAACACCCCATCTACCCAATCTCTTTTTTATCTTCTAAGCCCCACATTGCAGCACTAACATCAGAACCTTCCATCACACACACACACACCCCCATTCAGCCCAGAAGCCTCCCATTCCTTATTTCCCCCCCTCTTGGTGAAAGCACAGAAACACCCTGTTGATAACACAGTATGCTCCAAGTGCAGCAATACTTCTAAGAAAGCAACACAGCTTTTTGTCCCTGACAGCAGAGTTCCTATTTTAAATATATAGCCACCTGTTTTGTGAATGCCCCCAGAGCTCCAAACAGTACCTCCACAGAACCTGCAGGGGATCTGTCCTCACCAACAACACGACCTTCTTGCTGAATTCCAAAAAAAGGGACACTGATTCTTTCCTCTCCACTCCAGCTGAACTAAAGCAATTAAGTTATTTCCTCCCTCTCTTCATCCAGGCTTATATCAACTGGAACCGATCCCCCTCTGTGCCACGTGGAAGTTTCAGAAGTTATGAGTGGGAAGTGTGTTTTTACTAAAACAAAAATAAAAACAAAACAAAGCTGACTGCTTTTCCTTAGTGATTCAGAGGTGCAGGACACCTTTTCCTGCTACCCTTTCTGTATTACAGTACCCTGAGTCCATACAACAAAATGTAAATAGTTTTTGCAGAGAGGAGAAAAACTCTGCTTATGTTGGGGGCCCACCCCATCTCATCCCAGTCTGCAGAGAGAAAGGAGGAGGAGGAGGAGGGGGATCATCTTGCTCACTACTGATGCCAGAGCAGCCCACAAGGGAAAGGAAGAGAGCAGCATCAGCCTTCCCTAGAAGGGCATTTTCATCTGAGTTTTTGTTGTGTAAGTGTAGTAATCAGCTGTCAGGTAGCATACAGAGGTAGTACAGGACATTGTGAAGAGGGGCATTGTGCTTCCTTTAATGGGGAAACAGAGGCACCCAAGTGTCAGAGCCAGCCCAGGATTATCCATCAGCACAGAGCCAGGACTAGACACCAGGTATTATCTCACACACAAAGGTAACACACACTTACACTGTGCTACAAATTACCTATACGGGCATTTTTTCCAAGCTTTCACTTCTTCCACATCTTACCCTCCTACATCAACGTATCCCAGACTCACAGTTTCCTATCTCCAGGCCCAGTGCCGCATTTCCATCATCCAGCTGGAGTCCAACCTATCTAAAGGCATTCTGACCCACCCCTGAGCCAAAGGCTATGCCCTGCCACGGCATATGGGCTCAGCAGCCACTGTCTCTGTTCATTCACTGCAGCTTTCTGGAGCTTCCAGAGCAAAGGACTCCCACTGCAAGACTCCCAGCACAGAATCAGCTGCAGGAAACATTTCCAGTCAACTTGAGTCTTTGCATTCTTGCATGTTCCCTGCTGCTGGGTGTGAGTGGTGCCTGCAGCCTGCATGAAGAAACATTTTCAGGTTTAAAAACTGAAGACTCAGTTTAAACTTTGGTACAGTTACTTCTGCGGATCACAGATGGCAGAGAACCAGGTCCTGGGGCACCCAACTGCTGAGGCAGCTGTGACAGCGTGTGCCACAACACACCCAGTGCTTTTGCAACGGGCCTGGCACACAAGGCTCTGTGCAGGGCCCAACCTCCTGCGCTGCCCCAGCGGAGGTCAAGGACAAGCTTTGCCAACCCGAGCTCTTAGATTTCAAAGACACTCCTGCAGACCTCAGTATCAGCCATGTCCAGGGCCAAGCTGCAGTAGGCAATATATATGAGACCTGCTCAGCTCTGACTTTGCAACTACTGCCACTGTCCTAAAGAGATTACAGGCTAAATTTAGATGTGATATGATTAACTCAGGTAACAGACATACAGTCAAACAACAGCATGGCAGAGAACAAAAGGTACAAGCAGCTCTATGTAGAAGAGTGGTTCTGCAGGCACCAGCTCACCTGTGATCAGCATGGAGTGAGGCAGGAGGCATTCAGGAGGTGGAAGTTACAAAATGGTCTCTACTCTCATCCTTATTTATCTGCTTAAAACTCTACAGAAATACTGGGGTTGCTGAGGTGACCACTGCTATGTGCTGATATCGTGCCTCTACTTGAAAGGAGAGAAAAAAGACCATTTAAAATTCTTTTAAGTAACTTGCCATCATTTGCTTCAAAAATGAATAATCAAAACACATGAAATAAAAGGGGTTTTGTCTCCAAAGCAGGAAGGGGAGTACTTTTCAAACCTAAGAATGCACAACAGAGCCTGGCTATGAGCCTATTGGCATCTGTGTCCTGATCTCAATGAACTTTAAGATGTCTGTTCTCCCAGAGGATGTTTAAAAAAAAAAGAAAAATCCATGACTGCTTTTAATCTACCTGAAATATGGGCTACAGACACAGCATATTTCATACTTGTTTTACACTGTCCACGTTCCTTTTAGCCTGCTGCAGCATTAGTAGGATATTTCTGTTCCTGTATGGCAGTATAGAACTAATATTTCCCAGAAAACCCACCCAGGGCCGTATAAAACCATCTGCTTTCAAGTTAGCAGTGAATTCTTCTTACAGATACAGGGCACAGAACAGCTCACACTGTCACTCCAACAAATTACGCTGCTGTTTATTTAAGTAATAAAGGCATTTGTTCCAAACAGTCGGGGCTTTTTCCAGCATTTGTTCTCCACATGTGGTTTGCTTCCTCAAGTGTTGATTTTTCATAGTTAAGGGACTTTTCCCTGCCTTTTATCCAGCAGGCTAATTGCATTCTTACTCTTTTCTGTCTAACGAGAGCTGACATGCAGCTCAGAGCTCTGTACAACAGGAAGCCCTGTATTTCCTGTTCCAAGGAGGTAAGAGTTTAATCTGACCTCAGATGAATTGGACATATGGGAAATGGACAAAACCAGCCTCGTGATTCAGAATTTTCTTTTATCACGAGAGGGAAGATGTAAAGTCTCTTTACCCCATCCTTTTGCAGCCTGAAATGATCTACTGCCCAAAAAACCAGCTCTTTAGCCCAGCTGTCACCAGCCATGCTCAGCTGGTCACAATCTCCTCACTCTGAGCAGCTCATCCCTCTGCTCCTCACCAAAGGGATCCCACAGTACCTTGGACCAGGACTTACTTTCCACAGGGAAAGCCAGGATGGTGCCCTTTGCCAGACTGTCCATTCCCCCTCTGACACCTGCAGTTCTGACCACCTGTACTAGACATGGATTACATTCCCCAGGGAGTTATTTCCAGGGGTCTGGACAGCCCCACACACCAACCTACAGCTGCAGTCCCTGCTCCCCCCAGGCTGCCTCAGCTGCCCATGGATGTGCCTCATTTATCCAGAGAGCTCTCTTGCAAATATCCCAAATTCAGAATTTTGCAATGAATTCCTATTTGTTGTCCTGATCAACACAGAAACTGAGATTTCTTGAAGTAGCACATTTTCTTTTGAAAAGGACTTTCTTCTAATGACTCAAACGTAAGAAAAGCAGCAATCACACTCTTGACACCACACCTATTTTCAAAAGTAAGTGTACTGCTCTGCATTGAACCTATGTGTGATCAGGCAAAGCAGGAGGGCTGAAACACAAAACTCAAGTAAAAGTTTAAAAATAAAATCTGTGCTCCAAAACCAAAACATCCAGTCAAATTCCTGCAAGCCAGATCTGCTGAGTCAGGCATCACTGTGCTCACTGGCTCCAACCCTGACCAACCATTTGCTTCTCCTGCAGCAATGAAACACATTTTACTTTTTCCTTTACAATGAACATTCCTATCTGCAAGAATTAGCACAAATTTTACAGGAGAAAGTAGAGGTAAGATACACCTCTGGCTGTCAAATGATGAACACATTTATCATGGCTGGGAAAACCCCAAACCAAGAGCTGCAAAGGGTATTCACCAGAGGATTTCAGATGGAGAAGAGGGGCTTGATGCTGCCTGGTCAGCAGAGCATTAGGGAGCGAGAAAGAAAACTTTTGTAACAAGATTTCTAAAATGGTACAAACTTAGGTAATGCTTTGACTTATGCAAAAAATGAGTAACAGAACTTAATAATGGCAAAGACTGTTCTGCATCACAGAGCTTTGCCTATTTCCTCATGATGAACTGGGTAAATTATTTTATCCACTGTGAAATGTATTTATTCAAAGTTATCATATTCTAAGCCTGCAGAATGTTAATGGAGGGCCTGATGTTTTTAGAAAAGACCACACACCCCCCTCACTCCCAGAAAAATCAGAGAACATATTATATTTAAAAATTACTCAGCAACTTACAACACAAAGGTGCTGAAAGTGAAGAAGTAATGCAAGACAAATGTCTAAATAAGACATTAATTGGTAGACGTGGTAAATATGCAACTTTGTCCTTTACTCCATTATCTTAAATCCTGCAGGAGAAACACAGGACTGACTGATTCTCTCGCTCGCAGACTGTGCTAACCCTGCACTGCTCCCTCTAGCTACTGCTGCTGGGAACTGAGCATTTCATCTGGGATTCTTTCTGTTACAGTCACGTTTGCAAGGGCTCAAGCCTGAAAGCCCCGGGCCTGTACAAACCCAGAGATTTCTCTGACGGCCAAACTTGTATATTCTCTCACTTGGCAGCAAAGAAAGTTATTTTTGCACATTTTTTTCTCTTAGTATTTCTGTGCAACTTTTCCCCTACCCCTCTAAAAAAACTACCTCAATCTGCAATTGAGCACATCTTACTTAAACCATTATTGGCATGGACTCCTATTATCTATGTTAGCTTGTTTACACTTCAAAATTCATTTGCTTCTTTAATTAAACAGAGGCCAAAAATACGTTTGTGTTCAAAATTCTTGAAAAAGGCATGTTTTGAGCTTGCATAACAGACATCTACTCAGAGCTCTTTGGTAGTATCAGTGATTCAAAAGGAGGAACAAACTGTTTTCAGTACAAAATTATTGCTGTAATCCCGTAATTCCCCTTTATTTGAACCCTAAGCCAAATGGCAAGAACTTAGAAGAAAAGCAGTGGGTGTATTGACAAACATTATTTTATTGAGAGCTGACACTGCTTTAATTGGAGACATCACTGTCTGCTCCAATCCTTTGGATAAGTCAACAAACAGTACCCAAGAGAAAATCTGATTCATATGAACAGACTATATTTTAAGAAGTTTACAGTGGAGCAAGGCCATCTCTGTCCTATTTAACAGAAAACTAATGCCTTGCAAAAGAAGATGAACAGTGGGGTGACAAATGTTGATTCATCCACATATTAAAGCCCTGGGCTGAGCACAAGAGCTGCAGGCAGGTCTGAAAACCCAGTGCCTAGACCATAAAAGACAGTAGAAATTCAGTATAAATTAAGCATATGGAGCAATAATTAAGAATATTTCAGTTTCACATGGCAGAAACAAGCACTGAGTCAGCAGGAAAGAAATGAGCCCCCAGTTTTAAGGGATCTAAGAAAACATAATCTTAAAACTAGGAGTAGTCAGAAAAGAAACTGGGGAAAGAAAAATAAAAGCAGAAAATGCTCTTGTAT